CACAGAGGGAGCGTGACGTACAACAACAGCAATAACAAGGATTATCAAACACCGAATACATACATATATTTACATACAAATAAAGGAGCACAAGAACTTAAAAGAAAAGTCTACAGAATTTTCAAGCGGCCTAAATGGAAGTTAAGTTCTAAAGTTAAAAATATTTACAAAGCGGAAAGCATGAAAGACTTGCAGAAATAAAAGCTTTAAGTTAATTTAGTAATTTGTTTTGAAAAAAAAAAAACATATAACTGCAAATAATTAGTTAAGAGTTATCGTGCCAATCAAAATAATTTAAAAATTTTTACGTATAAATTAAAAACGTGCAAAGTGTTTTATATATGTAAGAATGTAATTCTGTCCAGAATTGAGCAATATTTTTTTGGTGAGGCCACCTAATGTTTTTCATGACATCAGGCTAGGATGTAATCCCCAGCTTTATTTGGAATTCTTCTACAAGTAGATAGCACCGATCGTCCTTTCAGCTTCATATCACGTACTGAGCATTAAGCTTACGATAAAGATAAAACTTCATTCTGGTATATAGGACTAATTTAGTTTTCGAGAGATTAGAGCTTGCCTACAAAGTGCGCTTAGTTCATAAAAATATAAAATTTCAATTCTGCCTGCCAGTACCCAGAAAAAAACAAGATTACCACCGAAACGAAAGTGGAAACGAGCTAGGCGATGGGAATCGCTTACCCTTTCGCTTCAAGAAGGCAGTATTTTAATATGGGCATGTCATTGGCCGTAAGCCATTACCCGCAGAATTACCTTCAAACGAAGGGAGAACGCATGGATAAACAGAATCCAGAGAAGCGAACGAAGAATGCCTTACGGAGAAACTATTGCAGAACGCCTAGATAAGTAAATACTTATTTATATTAAATTGAAATCAGAAAATGTCTTAAAAGATTAAAATTAATTAAAATTTTTATAAATCATATGTGTGTATTTATGTATTTAGATTTCACTTGAAAATCGAAAGAAGCGAAATAAAAAAAATATTGTAGGGCATTCTACTTTGCATTCCCCGAAATGAAGCAAAGAAGCGAATAAAAAAAAATATTATAGGACATTCGAATTTGCATTACCGGCAATGCCCAAAAGAAGCGAAAAAATTCGAAGGCTTTATAACCTATGCCTTCTAGAATACGTTACCACTAAAAGAGATTACCGATTTTTTGCTGGATAGTTGCCCCTACAATCTCTTTGCGGGATCTGTTTGTAAGAGCCTCATATCAACTGCTGATATCTGATGGCCCTATTATGTATGGCGACTGGTGTCTAGTTGCTGGTCTAGTAGCCATGTCTACCAGTATTTTTAATCGAGGATTAAAATTAAGGAGGAGATTATCAGTTCGTCGGATTTTTTTTTTGTATGTTTGTTACCGCATAACTTTGGACCACGTCAACCGATTTCCATAATTCATTTTGCATCGGAAAAGTAGTGTTTCAGAGGTGGTCTCATACTAATCTAGTTTAGATCTAGAAAAATAACGGTACCACCAAAATTTTCATGTTTGTTTTTTGCTTAAAAATTTAACATTAATTTAACATTTTAATTCTCAAAAGTTTTCGTTATTTTTTTACAATTGGCCTCTATCCTGCTAAAAATATTTCTTATAAATTGCATCAGCTCTTTCACTTGTTGTTTACGAATGCTGCATTGCTCTTCATTTGACAGTTTTCGTGTTTCAACACAGTTTCAACTTCATACTGAGAGTAAACACATTTTACTCTCACGAAATTGCACTCAGTTACAGGAAATGAAAGGAAATTTGTCTGCTGGAACGCTTTTATAATATAGCCATAAGTTACTTAAGTCCTTTGCCTTAATTGACAGCTCAAGTCTGAACATTTACATATGTATGTACACAAATGCATATTGAATCATATGAAGAGTTTGCTCGAATTTGTGGGTAAATTTTTGAAAAAAAAAACCAAATCTGTATTAAAAATCAAATTTAATCATTGGCTATTATTATCTATGTACTTTTGCCAAGTGGTTTTAAGCGGCTCTTCGATCGGCCAATTTTTAACTTCAAGAGGTTTTGGCTGCAAAAACCGAAATAAATAGAAGGCAGACGATGCTAGATCTTGGCTATATAGCATCTAGCTCTTAAAAAAACAGTCAAGAAGCAAATTGCCATAATTATGTGTGTGTGATTTGGCATCTGAGATATTTCACTAATTTTGAAATCAATATAACTTTTATTTACTTTATAACGCGAATTACAGAACTGTCTACACTTAAAATGCGGCCTGAAATGGCATTTTTCAAACGCAGGTCAGCTTGACGCATTTCGTTTAGTGTTGCTAGCTGTATGGCCATCAACACCACATTGTAACAAAAATCCGCAAAAGCTTTTCATATGACCCAATTTTAGTTGAAAAGAAATACTTATACTTTAAAGCATGATAAAAAAATTACAAGGTAAAATCATTGAGCGGCAGTCTGACGTTTGCCAGCAATATCCCTGCAAACCAAAGTTCCCGAAATCTTAAGGAAATCGTTAGGAGTATCTGATTTCTGTAACGATTTTTTTACGAATTTTCAAAGAAAATTATATGAAGGGGTTGACACGAACTCGTAAAGAAATTTCTGTACGAAAAATAAAGAAAATTCTGGAAAAATTCTGAAAGATATTCTTCACATAGCAGCATTATTTTCGTTGCTTCACAGATTTTCTTCCGAAATTTCGTAAAAGAAAGGAAGTGTGCGTAATTTATTTCATTTTAGAAAATTCGGCAAAAAATCGAATTAAATCTTAACGAATTCTTTAAAATTTCTTTGCAATGCAGAATACTCTGAAAACATGGTTTGCAGGGATAATTTTAAAATTCGAACTCCAGCTCATAAACACATTCTCATTTTTNGAAATTGCATTTTTCAAACGCAGGTCAGTTTGACGCATTTCTTTTAGTGTTGCTAGCTGTATGGCCATCAACACTACATTGTAATAAAAATTCGCAAAAGCTTTCATATGACCCAATTTTAGTTGAAAAGAAATATACTTTTAAGTTTCGAAACATGCAGGAACTAAGCATACTATTCTCGTTAACTATTTATGGAATTCACAAGATGTCTTAATGATGCCTATTATCGTCATGTCATACATTTTATTACCGTTAAAAACAATTTTAGCTAATTCGCAGCAACATCAAAAAACTTTTTTGACCCTTTTACCTAAAATTCACAACTTAACGACAATACGATTGTTATGACACCTTGGGAATCTCCTAATCATACATATATGCTTAAGCGTTAATGGCATAAAACGACTCACTCAGCGGTGATAATAATGAACTTGGATCCACACAAAATGCCACAAAGGCATGGAAGAAGTCCACTAATTCATGTAAGTCTGTACTTTTTACCATTTCTTGTAAGTAGCGTTTGGTACGATGGCTAGCCTGACGTAATATCCGTGTAAGTATCTTTTGACATTGGCTGCGCAAAAAATCTGCCGGTGGGCCGCGTACGCCTGTATAAGAAGAAATGCATCAATTATCTAAAGCATTAACTATGCACAAACATTAGTGCACTTGTAGTCTAGTTAGATCGGCGCATACCATCATTACAGCCATTGTGACAGCCCAACACCAGTAGCGCACGTTTTATAATACCCATCGATATCTCGTGCGCATGCTCACCCAGCTTAAGTACACCCATTTCCAGTAATAGTTCACAAATGTTCAAACCCGCTTCCAATACACGCTGCGAACAAATGGTCATATCTCGTTTGAAGATATTGAAAACTGCTAACAAAACAATTTCGTAGTCAATGCCACCATCGCGTGTAATGTAGAAGGAGCTGCCAGGTGCCTCCGATTCGTCTACGCCAGTGTAATCGATGTGTGAGTCGGTGTGCGAACGCAGCATTTGACCGCGGAAGCGATTAGTCGTGGTACCGGTGCCACTAACACCGCCACCGCTGCCACTTGTGCCGCCTGCCACACCGCTAATACTACCACCATTACTCAGTGCATCCAACTGGGAGTCAATGGAGCCCTGCAATGGAGCGGCAAAAGGATAAATGATTTATTGCAAAGGCGCGTGAAAATAACAAATTAATAGCAAGCTATGTTTGTATGTACAGTGTGTGCGTATGTTAGCAGGCGAATGTGTTTCTGCAAAATTTCCGGCGATTACTAACCTGCCGCTTAAGATAATCTGGCGACGGTGTAGGCGTATGTTCCGTTACGGTGATTATGGGATTGCGCGGATAGAATGTCGTGCGCTGTCCGGTGGACTGGGAGGGACGCATTGCTTTCGGTGGCTCCACATACCTGTAAAATCTGGTAATTTTGAACAAATGCAAAATACGCACAATTAGTTGTGATGATTGTGATGTGCGGCAGTGCGGCGACGATTATTGCATACAAGCCCATTGAACTGAACCGAATTTGGGCGTGAGTATGTAATACTATGTATGTATGGGACAAAGAAGTAGGTAACAAGAAAATAACAGGCAAAAAGTGGTTGGTGCAAAAAGCTGTGAAAAAAGACGCAAATCAGGCAAAACTTGGCTAGATAAAAGTGCTAGATAAAAAGGGAAATAAGTCTATAAGGATGGCAAAATAAAGATAAGTTTTTATATTAAGGCTGGGAGTTCTATTCGAATTCCTTGAGTAACCGAATAATCCGGATATTTTGAATATCTGATAAAAAACGGATAACAAAATGAACGGATATAAACCGGATACACAAAGAGTAGCAGCATTAACCGGATATTCGGATAAAAAAGGGGGACCCGATTATCCGGATTTTATACGTATACACGATTACTCAAACGGATATCCGAATATTCGGATGGACCCAGCCCTAATTCATATCTGTATTAACCGATTATAACCGATAAAGTCAAGGACATTATTTTGTAGAAGGCACATTTGCATTTTCTGCCCTAGGTCCTTAGTACTTAGTAGCATGCAGCCGAAGTTTGCTTTAAATTGACTTTAGCGGATATTCCTTACATATGCAAAACCAGCCAACTCTACTGGTGGTAAAGTCGTTATATTACATTATTTGGTATTAATAATGAATTTAACTTCTCAAAAATGCGTAAGCAATTTTCTGGTCCCAATGATAAGTGATTATTTAAAGAAATACTACTTTACATCCAACACTTTACATATTTATAACAAAAGACGTGCACGTTGGGTATCTGCTAAAGTCCAGAGTAATATAAGCCGAATTGCGTTAGCAAAGCAGGGTCGTATATGCAGTGTGCAGGGCACATTGGGTACAAGCCGAAAACATGGGCATACCTTTCAATTGGTTCTGTCACAGCTGCGAGAACCCGATCTCACAGGCGACCGTCGAACACTTTCTGTGCGAGTGTTCATCCCTCGGAAGGACGGGGATAAAAACAGTCGCAACCCATTTCTGCAGAACATTTCAGACTGCTGCTGCCTCTATCTTTAAGACGTACTGAAATTCATTAAAGCCATGAAGCTGAAATTCCCCTCAAACTCATCGGAGGCCTAGAAATTGTTTATACTCATCGTATTTTACGCCCAAGACGGGCATCCAGGGTGTCGGTAAAATTACGTATGGGGTAGAGCGTGAGCTAGCAATCCAGAACGCTATAGCAACCAATGTTGCGAATGTGCTAAATGGTTCTTTTTCTACTCAAACACTGATAATAATGACGGAACCGAAAACCTGGTGTATACCCGAAGAGAATATTCGCATATATTGCTGATCCTGAAACGGATGGCAGCTCAAGAGATGTAAGTGAAAAGAAAATAAAGCTGCAGCTGTAGTCAAGGCTAGTATTTAACTAACTTGTGACTCTGTATCCGGAAATATACCGGAATATGTTGCCAACCAGGGATCTATCCAAGCAGAAAATAAAAGTCGCATGACCAATAAAATCATGGTCTCAGGACCAGAATCGGACGCGCCTACAATACGCGTCGATCAATACGATCTAACTGCCCGTATAGTAGCCTCCTTCGCCAAATGGCACTTAAAGCTACATATATTAAATATTTTACTCATAGATATAGTAGGCAGGGCTGCTGCTGCGCGCGTCACAGTAAGGCGAAGTGGGGTAGACTTGAAGTTTGCCTGGAGCTATGAGCATTATAAAAAGCTTTGGGTTCTTTCTCTGAGATAGATCACTGCACGCTGAAATAGATCTTTCATCACCCATATTCACCGTAAGGTTGGTGGAGGTGTCGTCAACGAAGAACTCTTCATCAACCAGATATTTAGGCTACCGGATCACTGTAGCGTTTTCCAAGCAGAGGTAGTCGCAATAAAGAAGGCTTCGGACTGGTTGCTTTCTAGTGTAACACCTTTGTAGCAAGGCTCTCGGCTCCTTGTTGCTTTGTTTGAGATCGACGAATGATTGTTTGATCGATCGCATCGGATTACTACGCTATTAATCTTATTTGGATTTCGGGTCATAGCGAAAGTGTTATCGTTGGAAACTGTATGACCGATGAGCTGGCAAGACAGGGAACCTTTGTGCAAGTGCTCCTGAATAGAGAAAGTCTGGGTGCTACCCTGACCTCGTTTGGTGTTCTTCTTGACATTTGGGCGATTAGTCAGCTCGAAGAGCGCTGGCAAGGTAATAAGCCTTAGGTGTCATCTCTCTAATATAAGTCTAAGAGCAATAAACTAGTAAATATGTCAATTGGATTTTGGAGCGATGGAGCGATCTCTTTAAACAATGACAAAACTTTTTTTAGGTTAGGTGAACTTAAATTTTCTGGATTGTAATGGAATGTTTACAAAACAGGTTCATCTTTCATAGCTTTCAATAGTAATCTATTTACTTCACATCCTTATAGGTTGGGAGGCAGGCTTGCAAATAGTGTTGGATATAAAATTTCCGATGTCTAACGAATATTAAAACTTTTCGAATTATTTGTCTACTTGTACATAAAGAAGTTCTAAAGTAAATATAAGAATTTAACATATTTAAATATATTGATAGGTTTTTGTTAAAAAAAAAGCAAGCCCAAATGCAACGAGAAATATGTTGACTGTATGGAGAAGACTCACCCGCTATCAAGAAGACAGCTTTGGATATTTAAAGGTTAAGAGAAGAGTGCAAAGATTTAGTAAGAAATACATAGTAATAAAAAGGTTTGGATTTACATAGATTGGCGTTTTTGGTGTAGTTTGGTGAGTATTGTATTCAAAAAAAAAGGTGCCGGTAAGTGGTTGGTCAATTGAGGAAATATTGGAGCACATACGAGTATGCATCTAAAAACTTTCAATATTTTATGTTTTCGCTGATTACAAAGTGTTAAAAAAGTTTTCATTTCAATGCGTGTGTATGTATGTAATTTTCTAAAAATGTGAATATTAAATTCATAAGTTAGTTTAGCACTAGACAATTTCTTATGCATATGCGTCCATAAATACCAGTGTACAATAATAGTAAATATGTATTTGTAAAAATGTATGGGTTGAAAATTTTTATTATAAAAATTGGTTTATGAATTAAAAAAAAACGAATGTTTTAAAAAACCTTAAAAATTAATTACAGGAAAAATAGGGTACGAGTATATTTATTTTGGAAAAAAGGACTGCAGGATTCAACTAGCAAAAAATGTATTTATTGAGTAAAAAATGTGCTAATGCTATTTAATAGAAATTTAAAATTTTTTTGTAGGTAAAATTTTAAACCAAATATCAGCACTAACAGTTTTTGTAGAGTTGAGGCATTATTTTTCACCCGTGATAGAAGCGCGGAGCCTTCTGATTTTCTGCGTTCACATAAGATATGAACATGTTTTTCAGACGATTGATAGCTACAATTAATCAATTAAACGAAAGTAATTATCGATTAGGTAGGCACTGGGGTTAGTCGAAATTTATTATGGCTTAGAAATATTAGTGCAAATGATTAAATTGTGATTTTCATAGAATGAATTGGAACTATCAAAATTGATGAGATTTGGGTGTAATGAGAGTAGATTGGTGCCTCGTTTAGGAGTAGTGGGTTCTAAATTGAATTTTTTTGAGAACAAAAATTCAGAAAATTTACTTTGGAATTAAAGAAAATTTTTAGCTAAATATTTCTTCCTAAAATCATAAATTATGAAAACATTTACATACATATCAGCCAAAAATATAAATGCATTTATACCATTACGATCAGGGCCGGCCTTAACTAATTAGGCGCCCTGTGCGGATCATGCATTGACGCTTTTTATATTTTATAATGAAAAAAAAAAAAAATGATTTTGAATTCTGTGTCCTATTGTTACAATACAAGTATGTACAAATATATATATTTACAGTTATTAATAGTAGGATTCCGTATCTACAAGGAAAACTACTAAAACGGAATTTCCCTTCCCTTCCTTTTTACTAAATTTTAGTTTTGAAAAACTTTATTAAACATCTGCACTGGTATAGTTAACACAGTACGCAGCGATATCCAAGTCAGGGGATATAACTTTTGAAGATTGGACTTTTTTATAAAGTCAAAAACTTAGATAGATGTTGCCTGGCTGTTTTCTAGATCCGTGCGTATGTAGGTCGTATACTTTATTTATGTATCTGAGATATGTTGTTCTTTGTTTTGATTTCTGTTTTAGTTAAATAAGAAATTTCAAGATGCAGGCAATTTTGCTTCTGTTGAAATTTTTCTTTTATAGATAGGAGCATGGATTTGAAAACACACATTAGCATTAACTAACATTAAAAACAGCGTTGCTGTTTTGCTGAATTTAAGCAAAATTTTCATGTTTTTTTTAACAAATAACTCAGACTTAGATTGTGAAGACTTCCGCTTGAAATATGGTTGGTATGTGCCCGTAGCCAGACTTTTCCGAATCTTGGTCCAAGTAAACCTGCTCCCGTCTTCCAACTGCGATCCATAGCTATACCTTATTTGGGACTCTTATTATTATTATAACGTCGCTGTGACATAAAAAGATCTATTGTGTAATTTAAGAAATTAAGCACATTGGAGGGTGGCATTTTCCAAATCGTTCCCCGAGGTGTATCAGTCAATGATTATAGATGCGTGCGAAGCCCCACATGCTATGAGGTTTCCTTCGCCAGCCCACAAAAATGAAGTTCCACTCTACAGGAAGCCTCATTCTATTCAAATGGTACCTTAAGTTACAGTATCCTGTCAGACAGCCTGTAAGAGTTCTTAGACTCCGGGCAGGAGTTTTGAATCTGTTTTATTGTTTCGTTCCCGTTGACTTCCGGCAGTGCGCATAACTACAAAGCTTTTGGCCACTAGGCCAGTGTAAGAACGGGTTTTACGACCAATACGTTAGTTTGAGCGATAGTCCCAAGTTTTATCATGAAATTTCTAACAGCCATAAAACGCTCTTATGACAGTGTTGTTAACGTACGAGAGATGTGAGCTCACCTGGATACTTCCCCCCTTTTGAGAATTCCAATTCTATCCCTGACAAGGTTGGTCTAGTCAAGATGACTCTCCTTCTCAATGGGTTTATTGACAATCCCTTTGCAGCGCACTGGTTATCTGAGCGTAGCTTACAATCTGAAGCAAATATTGTCCTCATCCCCGCCAACACCGTAGAAGACAAGGTCATCTGCATAGCTATATACCGTGAAACCACCGCCATTTAGCATTTCCAGGAGTTCATTAACAACCAGTGTTCAAAGTCTCCTCTACTTGCCGTTGAGAACACGCATGGGTTGCAGTTACTGCTTGCTTAATGTCTCCTAGTAACGCTATTATAGTCCTGGATTTCATGATGTTTATGAACCAACCAGTCAGAAGGCTATTGCTTCCTTATCAAACCTGTCGATGTTGCTTCATAAGAGCTATTGTCAAGAGCGTCCGATATGTCCAGGAATGCACTCAAAGCTATCTGTTGAGACTGCAATGCATTTTCAATAACTTAAGCTAGGCTATGTTATTGCAGTATTACCTGATATGCGGGTTAAATTTCACATACGCCCTTAGGAGTTGTGCCAAGTTTTTCCCCACTTCGACTTTACCCCATGTTGATGGTAGGTGAGAAACTAGGAGTCTTGAGGAAGATGACAGTATCTTTCACTGCCTGAGCTAGGGAGTTATCCCAGGGATACAAAACATCGTCCGCTTATTACTAACATCCTAGACTCCACAGTCAGTCTAGAACAACATTTGGAGGCATGAAGTGTAAGCGCTTGTCTTCCGGCTGCATTGAGGCAAGACATCTTTTTCGTCGTCTCGCCACACTCTAGAAGTAGGTGCAGTGTTATCTCCTTAGTAGAGGCGGAAAAGCGGCATAGGTCTTTTGACAAGATTTCTGACCTGTACAGATGTTCTCTTAAACTGCACCATCCCGAGAGGATGCCTGCGACAAGCCTATAACTCTTCTAGTTGTGAGTGGAGTGCCTAGAGCGCCAACCGACTGTCGCTATGGATTGATATTCTCTCATTACGGTAGTTTCTAAGTAAGTTAAACTCCGCACCCCGATGACCTCTGGTGTTTCTAAGCTAGTTCATGTCCCTCAAAAAATGAGTTGTTCCAGGCTACTTTGTTGCAGAGCTCTATTTGAAAGCCTAATTGAAAACCACTGCCTTGTATACCTTATCTCTGTGGAAAAGGGCTAGAGGAGGCTGGGACCCTAGCAAGCCATCTCTTGCGAAAATCAGAAGAGTACGCTTGGCTGCCTACTCTATGGTAATATGCTAGGGCTTGCGGTAGAGAATTAACTCCAGTGCTGCCGTCGGGCGTGGAAGCACCGCAGCTCCCGTGTTGCACACACATGCCAGACGTCGCAGTTTTGTGAAAGACTGTCTCACTGTGAATAAACTGGTTCCAGAAGAAGAAAGGGTGAATGAAAATGTTTTAGCACTGTTTTTAAGGAAAAAATTTTGAAAAGGTAGACCTAAACCTCTAAGGGCCGTTTTCTGAAATAACCTTTAACTTTAAAGCTCACTTTATATATAAAGGTTGGATAAAAAATAAAGCCATATCTAAAGTTAAGCATTTCCATTATCAGTTTTTGACGAGTGTAGTATGTTGCTGGATTGTAACCAATTAAAAACCGATAATAAAATTCTTTACTTTAGACACAATCATAAATTGCAAGCTTTAAATATAAAGTGAGCTTTAAAATTACAGCTTACATCGGAAATTACAGCTGCAATGAGAAATATGTATTTATGTATTTGTTGTAGTATTTACTAATAAGTAACAGAGTATAGCTACTTATTTATGCTTCTAAATGTATGTATTTATGCATGTTTCTTTTTCTATGTAAACTTTGATAAAATATCTATGTATGTACGAGTATACGCAAAAAGAGTTTCGAGCAAAATCGCTTTAGTGGTTACCTTAAACTTGGCATTGATTTTCCTTTAATAAGATTACTTGCTGGCTCTCTGGTAATCATTGAAGCTGAGCGTGATAATTTCTTCTCGCCCGTATCCAGACTGCGATGATATTCCTTCGGGAAGTTGAAAATAATTAATCAGTTTCACAATGCTTGCGATAGTTAAGCAGTATGCATGAGAATAATCAGCAAAAGTAATTGAACTATTAACTTATGAATATATTCGTTTTTAAAATATAAGGGAGACAGTTAAGCTCTTAGATAAGTGTAAACGCCGTGTAAATAAAAACTTAGCAATAGCAAAAATTAAGGAGTTCATAGTTTAGATACTCTGCCATAGGGAAACTAAGTAAGTGCTTTAATTAAAATGTGTAAATAGAATGTCGGCTAGTTCAGTAAGTACGAACTGTGGGTATTAAAGCTAGGGAAACATTAAAATAAATAAAAAGCAGTAGTACAACAGAACAACAAAAGAAAAAGAAGATTTAGTTTAGTTCAATCTTACTGCATGTTGCAGTGGTCTCTTGCCATTAGCAGAGCTTGTTTCTAGGCCTACTTTTTCAAGATTCTTCTCGGACTTCGAGAACATTTTCGTTTCGACAAAGGCACGCAAATCAGCCATTTTGACGCGCTTCTTCTTCTCGCTGCCGCGGCGCTCCGCTGTGGGACTGGACTCTTCTACGAAGAAAAAAAAAATAAAAAAAAATTTTCAAAAGTGTATTTACCGCAAGCTGTCGAATTAACTTACCAACTTGCTTAGTTACCGCTGGTTCCGGTATTTCGATGTAATCTTTAGCCACTGAGCTGCTTGGGCTATCGCGACTATTGCTGCCCGGACCTTGATACAGTGAAATCTCGATTTGTGGTATGGGTAGCGAGTTGGATCGTTTGCGTGGCTGATTCAAACTAATGGCCGCCTCTTCACCGATTTCGCTTAGGCTGCGATTGATAATTGAGTACTATTGTTTATTTTTTCGTGCTAATACGAGTTTTAACTATAATTACCGATTGTACATGTATTGTAGACTCCAGAAAATGCCCTCTTCCTGCCAGTGCGAAATGAAGAGGCAACGTAACACGGCTACATCAAGAAATGTGGCCGCCGATACATCCATACGCACACTATCAGACTTATCTGATTCGGTCTCCTTCTCTAATGATGGACTACTCCTATCCTTTACCGATGCACCACGCATTAGCTCTTGTTGATCGAATTCGAACTTTGTGGCTGGTTTATCTTTGTCACGTGAGTGTACCGACTGCCGGCTGCCGCGACGACTTTGCAATTGTTGTTGTTGCAGTAAGCTGGCGTCGGCCTTTGTAAGCAGAACCAGAGCGAAAAAGAGCAGTGTGAATCGAGTAGTAAAAGGTGGCACACATTCATGTGCTTACCGTAAAAAACGAGTTGTCCATTAGATGTGGCGCGGAGGGCAGCCGAAAAATGACTACGCGTTCATCTTCCACACTTGAAGCCTCCTCGGGTATGGTCTCGGGAAAAGCAAATTCTTTGGGCGAAGAGACCCATGAGTTCTGCAAAAAGTAGCATGACAGCGTGTAAGATTTGAGTGATTTAGGCATAAGATCGACAAGCTTACTTCTTCGTCTTGCCTGGTGTGCTCTGATAGTTGACTCTGCGGCGAATCTAGTTTTGGTGAGGTGGCTACATCTGCATTGGATGATTGCTTGCCTAGATAATTTCAAACGAATCTTATTGTTATGATTGTGCATACTCTACATGCAATAGGTGTATATATATGTTACTCACGTCCAGGAAACATATCCGTCGAACCTTTCGGTGTGGGCGCACAGAGCAAATTACGCGCCTTTGGCTTGACAGGTGCCGTAAAACAAGGTGCCCCCGGTGCGCGATTATCCCACATACCCTGCCATAATTTAATGCCATTTTCTAAGCGGAAATTTTGGAAGTCTGATTCTTTCAAATGGTGTATGATGGGCGCGAATAGGTATACAAAGAGCTAAAAAATAAAACAGAAATAATTAAATAAAAGTTTTTCTTACATCACATTTAACAGTAAACAAAATTGATGCTGTCTTAATTGTACCGTTATCGTAGGCACCGAAAACAAATATTGCTCCACAGATTTCTGCTTGGGTGTCTCATCACCCAAAATTTCATTTCCGCCCTCATCATCAGCGCATTCCTCGGCGGCGTAGAGCAATATCCACTGCATGGTGTAGAGTAATTTCGTTTCGACTGGTCCAATTGCTTGCATATCTTTGACACGATTGTGCAACAAGGCGGCAACACAGTGCATTACGTGTGGTAGCGCTGCCTGCAGTAGTCGCCAGCGTGGTATAGCCCCCAGCGCTTTGGTGAGCGGCGGCGATAAACCAAATTGGATGTTTTGTACGAGTACTTTTTCAAAGGACTGTGTCGTTGGCGCGGAGAAAGAAAATATATCCCTTTTTTAAATTGTTTGAGTTTTTATAATTTAAGCTCAATTAATTGTTGTAAATTGCAATTGAAAAATATCTAGCGAGGATTACAAATATTTTTAAAAAGTAATTGCCATACAATTCAGGTGATAAAATTAAAGTTACGAAATTAATATAGATATGATGAGTTCAGTCAAGGAGGAAAAAAAAAACCGAACGAAATGAGTTATTACCTTGCAAGCTTCCTTTGATTCCTGTTGAAATATTGCAATGAATATAAACAAATAAATAAAATTAATTATTAAGGCTATTTATTTTGGTTAAAATATGGTATGAACTTCAACTACAAAAAACAAGTAGTGAAATATTTAATAGACAACAAGCAATAGAACAAGAGCATGCAAAGTTAAGATATGAACACTTTAATTTACTATATATATAGATAAACTATTTTCTTTTTGTTTGAATTATGGCATCCTTATGAGCCATACTTTTAACTTTATCGTTATTTTTTTAATTCAAATTAGTCTGCCTATTCGCTTAGCAGTTTTGTATAGCTGCACTTTTCCGGTAGAAAGCTTATTTCGGAAGGAGTTTTACAACAACAAAAAGTTTGGATTTTTTTTTTAGCGAAACACAAAAGGTCCAAAAACGTACTTTTTACAGAATTGAAATCGGTTCAGTGTTTGGTCAGGCATCGCCGTCATACGAAAAACATTTAATTTTTATACATATAGATAATTAAATTAATTAATTAAATGCTAGAATTAAATGGGCTATAAAACTGCGTCACTTCCTAGCTCTTCTGCGGCAGCACAAAACCCGTACGAGTGGCGCACAGCAGGTCCCACTGCATTCATCAGGATTAGCAGCAAAATATACTCCCTGACACGAAAAGTCCAAATTTATTTAGTTTTTTTTTATTTATTAACCTACAGTACAAAGTACCTTACAGACTAGACAAATACATAAAGAAGCCAAATTGGACAATTAAAATATTATTGAAATATAAATAGTATTTTAAAAAATTGTATCTGCATAAAGGGAAATCAAGTAGATTCGAATTAGATAATGCTTTAAATTCCCGAAGCGCAGATTCTATAGGGGCATTACTCGCCATTCGAGTCTTAAAGTTTTCCCCTAAGAGGGATAAGAATTGCGAAGATTTATTTGTGGAACATTAAAGCTTTACTGGGGATTCAGTGATGCCATTAAGAACATTCAAAGTGCAGATTAATGAGCATAAGCCGAGAATCGTAGGATGGAATATGAGCCACAAGCCGTAGGCAACGTAATGCATGTTTAAGAAATATTTTTTGAACACTTTAAATTCTACACATCGAAGGTTGGTCAAATGGTCTCCAAATGATAACTGCCTACTCCAAGTAGGAACAGATAAAAACAGCAAGATTAGTAAGTGTAGAGTGACCAGTGACAAAACCATATTGTTTTGGGCAAATTAAAAACTTAACCGCAAAATAAATCTTGTCCTATGCAATTCATTCAAAACGTTTCGAAATGCGTGGCAACTAATAACATTTTTTCCACTTTAAAAGAAAGGTGTGTAACGGTAATTTAGAGATATACGAAATCTTCGATAAATCAGTCAATACCAAAGCTAATTTATTCAAAATTGATGTTTGCAATAATTATTTAGCACAAAATACGTTTTTGATAAAATTTTGGAAAATAGGCGTGGCACCGCCCACTTTTGACCTTATATGTGTAACTCGCAAAGCGTTCGAGCAATTCGTACAAACTCGGAATTCTAATTATGTATGCCACATAAAAGCAAAACGTTGAAAATTATTGAAATCAGACTAAAATTACGTCCACTTTTTATGAAACGGTAAATTTCAGAAACGCTTGAAACTTCTGTATTTCCAAATCAAAGGACGCTAATTTACATAAAATTGTTACTAAAAACAATTGACTGAGAAGAAGTAACATTATTACGGAATTTTGGGAAATGGGCGTTATGCCGACCACATATAACTACATATATAAGTTTATCGAAGATATTTGAAATAGGGATAAAACCACCCCTGCTTACCAAGTAGCGGTAGTTTTCGGAGTTTATTATATACAAGCGAACAAGTCTAATATTATTTAAGAGCAAACGTAATAAGGTAATTCCACGAAATGTTACACTACCGGTATTTTCTAATAGTGGAGGCGATAAATTCTCGAAAAATCTTAAGCAAATAAAAAAAAAACAAAATAACAAATAGGAGCCACATAAAAAGCTTTCCATGGAGTTGCAAATGTATTGTATGACAGGAGTTAATTGGAGACAATTCATGCTGCCAAAAAATACCGACATACACATAGTAGTTCATAGAGTATCTAACAAATGATGTACATACTTTCTATTTACTATTTTTTCCAACTACAATAAACTCAACTACGAAAATACATATATGTATGTATGTGAATCTAAGCATGTTGACTTACATGATGTCCCGGTGCATGTTGACAAAACTATTGTACATCAAATACGAGTAGCACAAGTAATCACATAATAATGAGCATTTCAAATGTCGTTGTGGTTTGTTAAATTGTATGATCGAAATCGTAATAAAAGAGCAAAAAATAAAAAAAAAAGAATACCATAGTTTTGTACAGTTTCAACAGATATACATATACTTGTATATGTATGCACGTGTAGCATATGATAATGTGTAAGCAATTGGATGATACAATTATGTCGCAAAAGATATATTTATGTGTGTACATACATATGTACATATGTAAAATAAAGAGATAGAAAGTTGGAAAGAGAGAAAGAAACAAGATGCACGTCTGCCGGTAGGTTTTAAGCCAGAAAAGTATGCATGAATTAAAGACACGTAAATTTGTATTATAGACTACGGATAGCTTAGCGAATTTGGCAAATTAAATACTTTTTATTTTTATTTTATTTTTTTGCGTTTATTTACAGCTCAAAGTATTTGCTTCGAAATATGCTTTTTACCAGGGCTTCGGAGCGAAGCGGAGCAAAGGAGCAAGGAGCTGAGAAGAGCTAAAAAAATAGTTTGCTCCTTTGCTGATTAAAAAAAACTATATTTTGTTTGTGTTATTTTCTCGCCTAGTAACAATTTATTTAAAATATTTTTATTTTTGTTTTTCCTCAATAAAAATTAAGAGAATATTGAGTTAATAAATTTACTTAAATTATTATTTTTTGCCACTGAAAATAACCGTGTTAAATAAACTTCCATTCTATTTAATTAACTTCGACACTTTTTTTTAGTTTTTTTTATGCAAAAGCGTACACATGTGTACAGATGTATTTCTGTATCAAAAGGAAATTTAAAAAAAATGTCGTCTACGTTTTTTGACGGTTAGGACTTGATATGTAAATAAAAAAGTGTTTTATTGGGAGTGGGAGTGCAGCAAGAGCGCACCGTTGAAAAAACCTTTGCTCCGAAGCCCTGCTTTTTACTTTGCATTCCATATTTACAAGTGCTTCCTTGACTTTTACGCGTCTTCCACTCCAAATTTGAATACTCGAAGGTACATCGAAAAGGTAGTAGTAGTCTCATTGACTTTGCTCGGTTTTACACATTTAATTATGTACGTATGTATATGTATGTTTTTAGCCACTTCTTTACACTTAACAAATATAATCTTTGATGTTTTTATTTGTCATAAAATAGGAAAAATTACACATGTGTTTATTGAAAAAAAAACTCACCATGCAACTGGCCTCATGCAATTTGCCTAATTTTGGCCTTATGAAAGGCGCAATCTGACGCCATAGAAACGTTTGCACAGATACCGGCAAACCCAGATCCTGCATGCCATCATCCTGATCGATGTCATATTCCTCATTATTATTTATATGCAAATTATTGTTTATTGTATTTGTGTTGGTGACCATTGTGTTTTGTGGCATTTTTTATTACACTGAATTATTGGTATTTCGGGACGCTGTTGGCGCTCAGCGGCATATTTGAGCTAGCTGTGAATGAGCAACAAAAAGATGCGTAGTCAACACCATAAACATACACACATACATATGTATATACGTATGTATAAGTATTTGTGGCATATTCGAATGCCAACGACCCCCACTAAAGCCAAACAGCCTATTTAATCCCCTTTAGTGCTCTTGCAAAGTATTACATACATACATATGTATGTAATTGCCAACTGTTGCTGTTTGCCTGTCGGCAGCCGTTATTATCTAAGGTGAGTGGATGTGGGGTTT